GGTGAAGTCAGAGGAGCGCTCTGGGAAACCAAGGAAGACACAGAGGACGGCGCGAGGCGAGATCTTGTCCGCAGAGGTGTCGCGGACAAGAGCCAAGCAGCCCCAGACACTAAACCTCGACGCAACACCAGGGGACCCTGTCCAAAGACTGGTCGGTGAAGCCCCTGGCCGAGAGACGCGAGGCCAGAGGTTCAGCTGGTGAGCGGCGTACCGAGCCGCGTAGGGCCACAGAAAATGGGGCGCGCGGGCGTGGATCATGGAGGTGCGGGCGATCTCCATGACCAGGCCTAAGCGGCGCTCAGCAACCCCATTCTGCTATGGAGAGTCTAGAAGAGTCCAGGACTGGGTGATGCCCTGCTCAGCACAGAATCTGGTGAGTACGCCAGAGCGAAACTCACCCCCACGGTCGGAGTGGAGACAACTGACATGACGACCACGAGTGCCCTCGGTGGCGAGGAGCCACCGGATCAGAAGTCACATCGGACTTCTTCGCCAAAGGGAACACGGTGGTGTACCGAGAGTAATCGTCAACGACCACCATAAAGAAACTCTCCCGCTCAGGGCCAAGGCGGGAGGCGGGGCTTCAGACATCTAAGTGAGTGTCTGGAAGGGCTCGGTGGCCGGACGAAGGGAGGAGGAGTGAGGGGTGGCGCGAAGCCGACCCTGGACACAAGGACCGCGCGGAGGAGCTGGGGACGGCGGGAGTGGTGGGAGGACTCGGGGAAGGCCTAAGACAAGACGTTGACTGGACATGGCGCGAAGACGAGGAAGGGACGGGTGCCCCATCCGGTGGTGCCACAGAACGGTGGGGTGGGCAAGCGACCGACACGAGCACGACGCAGCAACTACACCTAACACGGCAACCTGACTGGACCCGGCTACCTGGTGGGACGGGGGAACCTGACGGGGGTCGGTGCGGAGGGTGTACAGACCAGAGCCCGGCTCCTGGCGGAAAGTGGCCAAGGGGGCGTACGTGTCACCGTCGACGCAGACTGCGGTGTGACCAGAAGGCTCAACCCAGACCCCGACGTGCTGTCTCGCCAGGATGCCCACACCAACCAGGTTCCTAGAGAACGTAGGAACGTGGAGGCCGGTCAGGGAACAAGAAGGAGCAGCTGGGCACGGGAGTGTAGTGGCGTGAGTCGCAATGACCGGTCCTGAGGAGGGATCGGCCAGTGCTACAGGGACAGGCGCCGGTAGCGGAGAGAGAGTCGTGTAGTCGCGGAAGAAGCAGTGCAACGCTCCTGAGTCCAGTGTGAAGGAGAGAGATGCATCCGCCGAGGGAGTACATGTACTAGTAGCTAAACAAGATCCTACACTAGCACCTACTCTAGTAACAGGCAAGTACACAGATCCAAGAGCACTATAGTCAACATCAGCATACATGGCATATGACCTAGCATCATCCATAGTCATATCAAAAACAGCAATACCACGAGCAAGAAGCATCCCCCAGCGCGGCGGCGGGGGAGCGGAGGGGCCGTGGTGCAAGAGGTAGAGGTCGTCGAGACGACTGAAGCAGCGTGCAGCAGAGTGGTCGGGGCGGCCACAGTACGAGTCCCTACGAGGACCCGTAAGGATCCAGTACTCACAGGGACCAACGCCGCGGCCGGCCGCGCGAGGTCCCCGACTGGAGGGGGAGCCACTGCGCCCAGTGCTCGGGGGACCCGCAGACCTCCACTGCTGCTGAGGGCCCCACTGTTGCCGAGGGCCCCACTGCTGAGGCTGCTGCTGCGGTAGGCGCTGCTGCTGGCCCTGTCACTGCTGCTGCTGCTGTAACCCCTCACCACCAGTGAAAAACTCCACCGTCGAAAGGAGGGCCGTCAGGTCCCGAGCCACCCCCATCACCACTCCCACCACCTACTCCACCGCCACCGCCACTACTCGCACCACCTCCAGTACCCCCGCCGCCCTTCCCGCCCTTCTTGCCGGCCTTGCCACGTTTCTGTCCGCCAGAGACAGAAACAGCCGCCGTCTCCTCAGAGGCAGAAGACGTGGGAGTGGCAAGGGAGGCAGAGAAGGTGGGAAGTTGTGGTACCGCACACCCCTCAAAAAGACGAGGAGGAGGCGTGGAAGAGGCAGAGGCAACGGCGAGGAGGTTACTCTCGATCTTCGAGAGAGCAGTCTCAAGAAGATCGATGGTAAGCTCGGTGGGGTGCTTCAGAAGAAGCGCGTCGCAAGCTGTGGCTAGGCGGTCAGGGAGGCGAGTGACTAGCCAGTAAATAGTGAGCCACATAGGGGGCGGGGCAAGGGCAAGCTGGTCCTCAGTGCAAGCAGCGCGAAAGCGAGCGTCAAGGGAGCGCAGGTGAGTAGTGAGGTCAGAGACAGTCTCAAAGGAGGCGAGGTCAGGGTAGATAAAGGGCACGAGGAGGCAACTGAGCAAAGCAGAGGAGGGAGTAGAGTAGCGAGCAACAATAGCCTTATACAGATCTGCAGCAGACTCGACCTGGGCGAAGTGGACTGCCTCTGTCGGCGGGAGAAGGTCAGTCAGGGCGAGGCAGGCAGCGGCGTCATGAGACTCCCACACGTCGCGAGCGAGGAGCTGGCGCTGGTAGTCGGCCTCCTGCTCAGAAGTAGGCGGTGGGGTACTGGGCAGCGGCTGAGGCTGCGGAGGGGCGGTCTGAGTGCCGGACGCGTGCGCGAACAGGTGCACGCCATCCTGCCGCTAGCTCTTAAGGTGGCGCTGCGCCTGCGTAAGCCACGTGCTAAAATCTATAGGTCGCCCTTCAGGGTCGAAATGAAGTACTCGGGAGGTCGCCATAGAGGGCGAGACTGAGAGAGCGCGGCTGCCAGCCGCGGGAGGGGGGAGACAGTCGGTAGCGAGGAGGTGAGCTCGCAGGTGTGCCGGCGAGGAGGAGGCGTAGCATGTGGACACGAGGGCTGCTCAGCTAGTTGACTGGAGGGCGGCGCGGGGGGCTGGCCTATGGGCGGTGCGGCGTGCAGGCCTACAGGCGACGCGACGCGCGGGCCTGCGGGCTGGACTGCCGGTCGACCGGGCGGGCCTGCAGGCGGCGCGACGCGCAGGCCTACAGGCGACGCGATACGCGTGCCTGCGAGCTGGACGGCGGGTCGACGGGCGGGCCTGCAGGCGGCGCGACGCGCACGCCTACGGGTGACGCGACGCGCGGGCCTGCGGGCTGGACGGCGGGTCGACGGGCAGGCCTACGGAAGGGGCGACGCACGGGCCTACGGGCAACGCGACGCGCGGGCCTGCGGGCTGGACGGCAGGTCGACGGGAAGGCCTACGGGAGGGGCGACGCGCGGGTCTACGAGCGGCGCGACGCGCGGGCCTGCGGGCTGGACGGCGGGTCGACGGGCGAGCCTACGGGCGACGCGACGCGCTTGCCTGCGGGCTGGACGGTGCGCTACCGGGAAGGACGGTACGCTGGCGTGGGCGTTGTCGTGGTGCGGGCTAAGGCGTTTTAGGTCAAGTGTCGATCCGAGGAGGCGACCTAAGTCTAGGAACGACGCCAACTAGGTGAGGCCTAGGAACGGCGAACCTACTGCTGATACCATCTCAGTAACTGAAAACAGCGGAATGAGTAGGATTGATTGGGTTGGGTTGTACCCCGTATAGCATGACCCACAACAGGCTATAACATTTGACAACTGGGCCTCGGGCGAAATTGGCGCACTACTCGCTTCAGGACGACTCTCAACACTATATTGACTCATCAGGGCTGAACCTACAGCCCTGTACTGAATTTCCAGCACGCAAGATAACACTTATACTGAAATTACATGACAACTATATCGCTTATGCTGTTTTTACAGGATTGGCACACGACAACTATCCTGAATTCAGGAGAATCAGGATAAATTATCTTGATCTCTGAAGCCCTGGAGTACATCAACAAATGTGCCAAAAAAACAAAACCACTCCAGCTTGATGAGGACCACGAGTGGATACAAGGAATTCAACACACAATGTAATTTACCCACGAAACTGGCCATTCTGTTGCCTACAAGATAGGAAACTAATTTCAGAACATCGACCATAAATCATATTTCTCTCAATCCTTTACACGATATTCAACTAAATGTAGTTGATATGATTCATAATATGTGATATGGGAAGGAAAAAATAATCCTAGAAACAATCCATGTCTCTCAGTGGATGTCTGACGTTTCCATTTTGACATTCTGTGAGTGATACTCTCATATGTGGATAGGCAACAAAAATGTTTCATTGTCAGTGTGCAGAACACGCATCCTTGTGACGATCTCTTTCAAAGTCGGTCAGCAAGCTGGTAACTCGGCTTGCGGCATTTCGACAGCGGCGGATTCACCCGCGCAAGGCCTCAATCTAGGCCAGATCTACGGCGAATGGGCAGATGTGAAACCTTCGCAAAGATTTTGCCAGGCAGAACCTAGGTCGATGGGCGGAGTCTAGGAGGTCCTTTCCGCGTTTTCTAACGCTTTCCGCCTCGAGGTCGTGGCGGAAACTTGAGGGTGCATAACTTCATAACGACCTCGAGGTCGTGGCGGAAACTTCATAGCGCTAGAAAGCGCTTTCCGCCTCGAGGTCCTTCCGCCGCGGAAAGCGTTATGAATTCTAGGGAAAGGAGAAGGCGGAAACTTGAGGGTGAGAGGCGGAAAGTTGGAAGAGGATGACGGGGAAGACAGGAGAATGTAGGCGGAAGGATGGAGGTGGAAGCGGAACGAGGGTTTCAAACTTCCTGCCTGCCTAGGAAAATCAAGATCTGCCTTTCTTTCGCTGGCCATGAAAATTGCGTAACGCGGAATTGATTTGAAGTATGGGAGGAGGTTTGCTGAGGCAATTACAGATGCCTTCATTCATTGCTCAAATGCAGGCACCGTGATCATCCACCTGACGCGCGCAGTCATTCGTTTTCCACCTCAATGCTGCTGAAATGCTGAGCGTGGACGGTAGGGCTGCTGCCGCTCTGATTGGTATGTTTCCGTTTCGCCCACCTCAGGAAAATGCAGCGCTTTCGCTTGTGGAACAGGAAAACGGAGAGCGAGGTCATTCCGAAGGTATGAGCCAGTTCGGAGCGGTGCAGCCAAGAGTAGAGGTGGATCGAGCGTTGCCGTCGCCGTCGCACGAGCATCAGCGGCGGAAGGCTCATCTTCACCCTCCACGCCAGCAGTCGCAGCCGCTTGTCTCGCAGCAAGGGTCGTCGGGGCTGTCAGATCAGAACGGGCATTTACGAGCCGACCCGCAAATGCCTCCCTCCCAACCACAGGCCCCACAGCAAGCATCAGGCTTACGGTCCGACCCTGTAGTGGCCCAGCTAACCCCTGTGGCCTCACCGCTCGTGTCGCAGCAGTTGGTATCGGGAGCAGATCTAGCGCGTCGGCAGCAGCTGGCGCTGCTATCGCATCAGCTATTGGCGTCGGGGCTGGCCAACGGTCGTTTGACTGTCAACCACGCTTGGCCGTGCCACGCTCGTTCAGCGACTCAAGCGTCTCAGACGACTCACACGACTCAGATTACGCAGACGAATCAAACGACTAACGCGTCTCAGTCGATTCACGCGACTCAGACGACTCAGGCAGGCGCCACAGGGATGGCTGACAGCAGTCGATTAGATCCCTGCGGGCCGTCGGGGCTGAAGCCCTCGCTTGTGGCGGAAGCAATTCCTTCGGCCGCGAGGCAGGGGGCAGGGTTGGCAGCGGAGGGGCCGTTGCTGGATGGGAAAACCACTCTTTTTCTTCCCTCCGGCCGTCAGTCGCCCTCCCCTCTACTGCTCCCGCCATCCCCCATGCTGCGGCAGCAGCAAGCAAGTCAACCGCTGCCCGCCGCACAGAACGAGCAGCCACTGGTGCCCCGATCTGCGGCGCTGCCTCGTCCGTCGCAGCCCCGCGTGCAGAGCGGCGCCGTCGGCGGGTGCGAGCCCACATCGCACGGCGGAGCGCACGCAGCGGCTCTGCCCTCTGCACCACCGCATTGGCTCCCATCTGATCAACAGCTGCTTCAGGCGCTTCAGCAGCAGCAGCTGAAGTGGCTGCAGCAGGCCCATCAGCCGCAGCAAGTAAACCAACAGCAGGTGGCGCAGCAGCAGCGGCGGCGGCAGCAGCAGCAGCAGCAGCAGCAGCAGCAGCAAACGGAGCAGGAACAGGGACAGGAGCAGCAGCAGCAGCAACAACAACACCAACAGCAGCAGCAGGGGCAGGGTCAGGATCAGCAGCAGCAGCAACAGGGGCTGGATCAGCAACAGGAACAGAAGCAGGGGCAGGAGCAGCAGCAACAGCAACATCAACAACAGCAGGAGCACCGGCTGGGGCAAGGGCAGCAGCAGCATCAGGAGAAGGAGGAGGAGGAGCAGCAGGATCAACAACAGCAACAGCAACAGCGGCAGCAGCAGCAGCAGCAGCAGCAGCAGAAGCAACAGGGTCAAGGGTTGGGCAGAGGCAAGGGGCGAGGGAAGGGTAAGGGTAAGGGCAAGGGCAAGGGCAAGGGCAAGCGAGGGTGGCGGTCGCCTCTGGTCGTTGGGGCGAACGGTGCCCCCGTGCCAGACAAGGCGGGCCCGTCCGCGGGCAAGAAGCGCCGCCACCTTGTGGACGAGCCGCCGGGGCTGTGGCTGGGTGACGAGTGCGACGCTGCCACGTGTACGTCGGACCGGTCGGGCAGCCCGTGTGGCGTGTGCGCGGCGAGCGTGCTGGTGGTGCAGGGTGACCGCGGTTGGCGCGAGGGCGGGGCCGCCGTGGAGGCGCGGGTGGTGGGCGACGAGGAGGGCGGGGGGGCGAGCGCGCACGTGCTCGCCGTGCTGCTGCGCGGCCACGCGCGCTTCTCGTACCGCCCGGAGCAGGCGGGGGCGACGGGCAGCAGCAACCGCGTGACGGGCGCAATCATGTGGCGCCCTCCCCCCGACGCGGACGCGGGCAGCAGCGCCGCCTCGTGGGCGCTGGAGTTCGCGGAGAGGAAGGAGTGGCGAAGGTTCCAGCAGCTGCACGACTCATGCGCCCAGCGCAACAGCCGCGCCGTGTCGGCGCGCCGCATCCCCATCCCCGGCGTGCGCGTCGTGCCCTGGCGCTGGCGCCTGCGCGGCTCCTCCTCCGCGTGCGCGGCCAGCAGCAGCGCCAGCAGCGACAGCGTGGCGGGGCCAGTGGAGGGCGCGGAGGCGGGTGAGGGGGGGCGCGAGGCGTTCGCCCCCCCGGCGGGGTACATCCGCGGAGTGGACGAGGCGGAGCGCGTGCGGCCCGGCAGCCGCCACGTGGTCTATGACCTCGACTCCGACGACGAGCGCTTCCTCTCCGCGCTCCCCCGCACCCTCCGCCGCGCAGGGTTGGAGGGGCAGGCAGGGGGGGAAGGGCAGGCAGGCGGGGAAGGGCAGGCCAGGGGAGAGGGGAGAGAGGCGTGTGATGGCAGAGGGAGTGATGGCGAAATGGCGGGGAGTATGGTGGCGGTGAGCGAGTGGCAGGTGGCGGTGAGCGAGAGGCAGGTGGAGAGGGTAATGGACCGGCTGGAGAAGGAGGCCTTCGCTGCACGCTCGCTGCTCTCCGAGGCACACGCTCTGCGCTGCTGCGCGCACCTGGCGCCGCCAGACGCTGTGCGCGCCGTCTTCCACCACTGGCGCGCCAAGCGCGCCCGCAAGGGCACCGCCCTCTGCCGCCACTTCCAGGTCAGCGCCCGCCTCCCGCTGCCCTCCGCCCGCCGCCCTGCAGCACGCAGCCCGCGCCCCTCATGTCTGTCCGCGCCCCTCATGTCAGCCCGCGCCCCTCATGTCTGTCCGCGCCCCTCATGTCAGCCCGCGCCCCTCATGTCTGTCCGCGCCCCTCATGTCAGCCCGCGCCCCTCATGTCTGCCGGCGCGTTGCCTCATGCATTCTCGTTTCTCTTGCACGCACTCGTCCCTTGCTGCCTATCTCGCTAGTTGGCTAGGAGTCTTTTTGCTCTTTTTCTCTTGCACGCACCCACGAGCTTGCCTTCTCATTGCACCTGTGCCTCTCCCTCCCTTTCCGCCCCCCCTCCCCCTCCCCCGTGTCATGCGACGCCCCGCCGCTGCAGCGCGCCCCATGGGAGGTGTATCAGGCGCAGGTGACCGAGTGGCAGCGGCAGCTGCAGCTGCTGCACGCCCGCGAGGCCACGCCCCTCGCTCCGTCTCCCACGCCGTGGCCCTCGGGGCAGCCAGCAGGAAGTGCGGAGGCAGCAGCGGAGCAGAGGGCGGGCGAGGGAGCGGGGATGGGTGGCATGGTGAGGCAGGGAGAGAGTGGTGTCGGGCTACAGAGGACACCACACAGCCACTCGCAGCAGCAGCAAGAGGAGGGAGGGGAGCAGCAGCAGGAGGGAGGAGCGGGGCGTGCGGTAGCAGGGCAGCAGGGGCAGGTGTCCCCTGGTGCAGCAGCCAGGCACGAGCAGCGTGATCCCCACGACCAGCACACATGCAGCATAGCAGCAGCAGGTGCCGAGGCAGCAGCAGGTTTATCCACTCCTGCTCTTCCCAGAAGCCCGGCCGCCTCCTCCTCTCCCTTCCCCTCGCCCATTCCCTTCCGCACGCCCATCACCCCTGGCCCTGGCAGTGCAGCGCAGCAGCGTGTGCCCGCCATCCCCCGCCCGCCTCTCTTTGCCTTCTGCCTGCAGCCACGCGCCCACGCGCGCAGGGCCCCCTTCCCCTCGCGCCCGCGCTCCACCAAGCGCGCGCCGCCCTCCGCGGATCACGTGGCAGGCGCATGGGGCGGCGCTGCTGCGGAGAGTGCGGAGGGCAGCCCGCGGGTGGTGGGCGTGGCGACGCGTGCAGAGCCGCTCCCCGTGGGCGAGGCGCAGCAGGGGGGGCGGCGAGAGGGCGCGGAGGGGCTGGTGGCGGCCAAAAGGCAGCGTCGCGTGGTGTGCCTCGCAGGTGAGCCGGGCCCCAACTCTTCCCCTCGCCCTTCCGCCCTGCCCCACGCCTTCTCCCCACTCCCTGCACCGCCTCAATTTCAATTCCCACACCTCCCTCTTGCCAAACCCAACCCTTGCTCGCTCGGCTGTGTCCCTCGCTGCAGACCTGGGAGGCGAGGAGGCGGAGGGCAGCAGCAGGGCCGGCTCAGCAGGTGGCTCAGTAGGCGGGGCAGCAGGCGGGGTAGCAGGCGGAGCAGCAGAGTCTTTCCCTGGCGCAGGCCACGAGGGGGGGGTGAGTGCGCTGCGTGGGGACTTATCTCGCGCGCACCCCTCGTCCGCGCGCCGCTCGCCCACAGCGTGGCCTCGCCTCACCACCACCTCGCCGCGGTCTCCCCTCCCCTTCGCCTTTCGCCTGAGCCTCCGTCTTAGCACACCCCTGGACCCCGCACACTTGGATGCCTCTCCGCAAGCGCTGCCGCTGGCGCAGCAGCAGGTGTACGGGGGGGGCGAGGGGGGGATGCGGCAGTTGCTGAGGCAGCAGCAGGCGAGGCACGCAAGGGGGCGGGCTGCGTGGGGCGTGCAGCTGACGGGCAGCGCGGGGGTGAGCGGGGCGGGCGGGGACGAAGCAGCAGCGCCCACGCCACCACACGGCACTGCTGCGGGGCCCCTTGCGTTGCCTGCTGCTGCCTCCGCGCAGCACCAGCTGCCCGGCGCTCCCCTGGTGGCTGCACGGCTGAGCGGCGCCGTTGCACGCGCGGCTTTGGTGGAGGCAGGGGCAGGGCAGCAGTGGGAGCATGGGAGGGGCGGCAGCAGAGGGGGCGAGGGCGAGTGCGAGGGCGAGGCGGAGCAGGTGAGTGGAGTGGCGGGCGTGCGGTCAGAGCTGCTGTCGCTGGCGCACGCGCGCACGGGCAATAAGGGTGGCGCACGCTGTGACGTCGCGCACGCAGCAGCAGCAGCAGCAGCTGCTGTGGCGGCGCCAGGGGAGGGCAGGGGTGCAACGCCGAGGGGTGCGGGCGTGGGGCAGTGGGCGCAGTGCAGGGCGGAGGGTAGACCGTCGCCGTTTGGGGTGAGAGGTTCGGCGCAGGCGAGGGCAGGCGCAGGAGGGAGGGGAAGGCGCAGGGCGCGGGCAATGTGGGTGCTGCAGCAGACACATCAGCACGTGGGGTGGGCAGGCGAGGCAGCGCGCACACAAGTGGGTGGAGACGGCTCGGTGAGTGGCACAGAGGTGCAGGCAGCAGGTCTCGACGCACACGCTCACGCAGGCAGCAGCAGCGCGGGGGGGAGGCGGGTGGTGGGTGACAGGCTGCCTCGGGCGAGCGGACTAGCGGCGCCTGGCGTGCGTGGCAGTGGTGGCGCCGTGGCAGCAGTTGATGGGGGGGGCGAGGCACACACCATAGTGGCCGAGAGTGCAGTGAGCGCACAGGGGCTGGGGTGTGCGGGGCAGGGTGCTCAAGATGAAGAGTGGCGCGGGGCGGTAGGCAGAGAGGCGCGAGCAGAGAGCGGCGGTGCTGCCGTGATGAGCGGAGAGGTGGAGGATGGGGCAGGTGGAGGGGCGGGCAAGGGCACGGTGGTGTACCACCGCAAGCGACAGCGGTCGTGGCGAGCAGCAGGCAGTGGTCGTGGCGAGCCTCACGCGGGCAGCGCCGCTGCCTGGCGCCCTGGCAGGCCCAGCATGGCCGGCCTGTCCCCTGTCCGCCTGCTCCTGCCTGTGCCCCTCACCCCCGCTCCTTCCCTCCCTGCCTCGCCGCTCCGCCTGCCTCCCCACGTACCATGGCCTCGTCCCCCTCGCCCTCCTACCGTGCGTCCGTCTGCAGCACGGGACCCAGCATGGGCAGCCGTCGGCAGTGAGGGGCTGGGGCGAGAGGTGGAAGGGCGAGGGGAGGAGGGGCAAGGGGTGCAGGGGCGAGGGGAGGAGGGGCAAGGGGTGCAGGGGCGAGGGGAGGAGGGGCAAGGGGTGCAGGGGCGAGGGGAGGAGGGGCAAGGGGTGGAGGCGGAGGTGGGGTTGGCGAGAGAAAGGGCGAGGAGTGCAAGGGCGAGGGCAGGTGCAGCGAGGGCGAGGGCAGGTGCAGCGAGGGCGAGGGCGAGCGAGGTGCAGCAGGTGGCTGATGCGGCGCTGGAGCGCGCCTGCCACTGCCTCGCTCTCCTGCGTGCTGCTCAAGCCCTGCCCACCGCTATGCCCTCTCCCGTGGCCCCTGCCATGCCCCCTGCCATGCGCCCTGTTCCTCCCCACCACCTTGTTGATGCCGCTCGTCCACCAGCCACTCTGCCAGCCGTCACTGCAGTCCATGCATGTGCCCCACCGCCCCTATCACCTCCTCCTGCTGCTCCTCTTGCGGCTGCGTCCGCTGCTGCTCTTGCTCCTGCTCCTGCTGCTGCTCCTGCTGCTGCTGCTGCGGCTGCCGCTGCCGCTGCAACTGCTTCTGATGCTGCTGTTGCCGCTGCTCTGGATTCTGATGCCGTTCGAGCTGCCTCTCCTGCTGCCTCTCCTGCTGCTGCTGCTTCTCCGTGTCCTGACAGTGCAGCTCCGGGTGAATGCCTGGACGGGCATCATTGCCGTGGGGAGGGTGAAGAGGGTGGGGAGGGTGAAGAGGGTGGGGAGGATGGCGAGGGTGGGGTGAGGGGCAGTGGGGGAGGTGCTGGGGATGGTGGAGAGGGGAGTGCAGGGTTGGTGGATGGTGGGCGGCAGCATGGCAGCGAGGGTGATGCAGTGCGGAATTGTGGCAGCGGGCAGGGTTGTGCTGGGGCGGGGTGTGCAGGAGGGCATGCAGCAGCTTGTGTGAGTGGCGATGGGTGGAGAGAATCAGGTGGGTGTGTGCCCCTGCCGCCTCCTCCATGTGCCGCTCAACCTCGCCCCCCTGCCACGCCTACCAGCCCGCCTCCCATGCTGCTGCCTGTGCCGCCAACCGTCCCCCATCCACAGCAGGCAAGCCCCCCTCTCCCTCCTCCCACATCGTCTCCTCAGCTCTCCCCCTCACCGCAGCAGCAGCAGCAGCAGCAGCGGGCGGGCAGCAGCCCAGTGGCGCGGAGGCCGTCGTTCCCGTCGCCCTCATCAGTGGCCAAGCGAGCAGCCGTCACGTACCGCCGCGCTGACGTCACTCTGCGCCGCGCTGACGTCACGCTGGGCGAGGAGGGGTGCGGCGGCTTCAGCCTGCTGCTGCCCTCACCGCACTTCCCTCTGCGCGCTGCCTCCGTCACGCATGTACCTGCTGACATCACTCTCCCGCATGCTGAGGTCACCATCTCCGAGCCCCTCTGTGGCAGCGATGGCAGCAGCCGTCGCCCTGCCAGCCCACGGCCAGCGCCCCTCATGCCCTCCGCCTGCACGCTCGATTCCCTCCAACCCCCCCGCGCTGCACTTGCCCCCACCCCTTCTCCACCGCTCTCTCATGAGCGCGAGGGCGAGGGTGGGCAGGGGTGTGGGGATGTGTGGAGCATGGGAGGAGGGACGAAGGAGAGTGAAGAGAGCAGCAGGGAAGGAATGGGCTCGGCGCTGCATGCAGTAGTTGAGGTGGACGGGGTGGTGGAGGGACGTGGCAGCATGGGTGTACACGAGCACATGGCTGGTGGCGGCAGCTGCCAGGCGAGCAGTGATGCGGCGCGCATGCAAGTGGATGGGGTGCAGTGGGGTGGAGGACAGTGGGGCAGCGCATGTGAAGGAGAGGCGATGCAGGCAGCAAGTGAATCAGGTGGAGATGAGACTAGCGGGGAGGGGCGAGGCAGGCAAAGACTCAGGGAGGAGGGATGTGGGGGGAAGCTGGGTGTGCACAGGACGTTCGAGGGGGGTGAGGGGAGAGGCGGTGGGTTGGAGGGGTGTGCGAGTGTGATGTATGTGATGAATGGGCATGTGGAGGGAGGCGCACACACGCGCAGGCAGCAGGTGGGGGAGGACAGGGCAGCTGCCACATGTCACTGGGGTGGGGGAGAGGGACGCAGCACACGGGTGTGAAGGAGGAGATGGTGGTATAGAGGGGGCAGTGAGCAGTGGAGCTGAGTGTGCAGCAGCAGGGCGAGTGGGGAGAGGAGGTGCGGATGAGGTGTGCGAGGCAATGCAGGGAGAGCAGTGTGTGCTGCCGGGTGACCCTGCGTGGAGTGGGCATGGCGGCATGGGGACGGCGTCGGGTGATGTGGCGGAGTGTGAGCACGGGAGCCACGCACGCGGGGATGAGGCGGCTTGCGGGAATCGTTCAGGGTCGGCAGGTGCGAGGGAGGCTGCCCATGCGGGGCAGGGTGAGGGCGGTAAGGGCGGGGCAGCTGTGATGGTGGTGGGGCCGTTGCCACTGCTGCCTGTCCCCGAGGCCCCTTTGCGTGAGCGGTGGATGGGCTGCGGTGCGCATGGGTGGAAGGAAGCTCCCACAGCGGTGTTGCAGGGGCAGGCCCATTCAGGGGAGGTGGGGACAACAGGGGGCTTGGATGGCAGAGAGGAGGGTGAGAGGCACAGCAGAGTGGGCAGTTGAGATGCCAGTTTGGTGCGCCTGCAGCTGAGCGCTTGGGTGAGTGCAGCTGAGCCTGTGTGGCTGGAGGATGGTTTGGTCAGAAAGGACAACAGGTTGTTGACTTCATGTGGGTGGAATGGAATGGAATGGAATGGAACCCAAGGCTCTCAATTTTTGTGGCATTCACTGACCGGTATCTGTGCCATATGATGGGACATGTCAGCCCTTCACAAGTCGCAGCCATCGACCGCTCCCAGTTGGGGCTGAGCTGATTTGTTGGCAATAATCGCGCATGTCCAAATCTTAGTTTTGAATGTACCGCAAGAGGTACCGGTATGTGTAGACAATCCTGGGTACGGACCAGGTCAATCCTAGGTGCGCAGACCAGGGAGCATGCTGCATGGGATTCCTTAGATCTGGTATCCGACGAAACCAGCGGGCGGGGCGACGCCGATCGACGTCCAGTCAGGGCTAACGTTTCAAAGTTTAGGCCAGTGCCCTAGATATCAGACTTTTTACGCTGATTCAGCGTCCATTCAGACTTTTTTTTGGTAGCTGGTCTGAACTGTAAGTTTTTTTTTTTATGTACCTTCTCTGATTTTTCAGAGTTTTTTTAATTGTAACCGCTGAAATTTCAGCCAATTTTTAGGGGTGTAGGCTGAGCCTCAGACTTGTGTCGGGGGTGCACTCTGCGAGCTTATCGAAACGAAGTTTCCTGGAAGTTTCGTTTCGATATGCCCACTTCCGAGATGGCAGTGGAGTGCCAGGACGTGAGCAACGCACGCTTCAACAGCTGGGACATCCGAATACACTCGTTCGTCGAGAATATCTCCCAGTTACACTAAGAAAATGGTTGCGTGATTACGAGATTTCGTAGACAAAATCTCGTCACATGTAAGTTATTGCCAATGTATTTTAAAGAATTGGCGATTTTGATGCTGATTCTTTGTAAAAAAATCTGCAGCATGCATTGCTGTGAAATTGCGAAGCTCCTGATTCGTAGTGAAAGTTTCGTGCGGCACTGCCAGATGCTCACACACGCCACGCCAACCAAAAGTTTCTGCCTGCTGCCAGCTCAGCTGCGTGGCACTTGGCCCACCTGGCACTGTACGTGACAACAACCAGATCGGGTGAATGATCACATCGCTTGAAACGCAAATCCAAAATTGACAAAAATCGGCACACAGGCGAGAAAATGGGTACAGAACGGTAATCAGACACACGACGAAACAAAATCTAATCAGCAGAAACAACCCATGCGCTGCACGGCACAAAACAACCAAGGCGATGCACGAGCACGTTGCCTGATGCAAACCCGCCGACCCTGACTGGTTCGTACCGCACAGTTGAGTTGGTATGCTGTAATCAGCTTCAATGCTATTATAAATATGCTTTTACGATACTGCATCATCATCTTAAAATTTGAGGGTAACTCTGACAGTTCAGACAAAAAGTTGTGCTTGTCTGAATTTTCAGACTAAAAATTTGAGGCACCTCTGACAGACAGAGTTCTAGGAGCGGTGTACTCTGAGGCGTCAGACTACCTCAAAACGAATCTAGGGGCCTGGTTTAGGCTCCCCGATGGAAATACCTTCTCCCCGTTTTAGTTTGAAGGCACTTCGATTGCTCAGTCTCCGGAGGTTGCTGTGAAACAATGTTTATATATATTTGTGGGTAGGCAGTGAGTTACATCTTAGGGGGTACATTTGAAACAATCCACATTCTCCTTCCCTCACATCTTCCGAGGAGCTAGCTCCACCTAACTCTTCTACATACTGTTGGAAAAAATCGGTCTTAAGCGCCTCTGTCGTGTCGAAACACTAAGGCACACGCGAAGCAAAGCATATCGAGGCACCAGCGAGTCAACCCTCGGAGGTTGAAGTAACTGCTGGAGGTTACGCGAAAGTCAAAGGTCAGCGACCTTTGACCTGACAAATACAGCGCGACAGCAAGGACACACAACTGACTCGTTACAGAGCAGTTGCCCGAGTCGTCACTGTATCGAACCGCAACAGCAAGTAAAACAGCTATAACCGTATCCTTTCATATTCCTTGTACTCATATATACTCTTGTATCTCTTTGTTTTAATCAACTTACTTTGCCCTCACATACTAGCGCAAGGTGGTTCAAAACTCTTTATTAACGCTTCCGCTACTACACCAATTCTACCCAGAGTTCACCCCTGCAAAGATCCTAAGGGCTTTTTCAGCCCAACATGGTATGAGAGCTATCAGGGGGAATTCAACTTCTATACCAACAGTATCAATCAGCATGGCTACACAAAAGGAAAGGAGCAACTCCAACGGCTCCCAGGGCACTACTCCTACTCCACCTCCTGCCTCTGGCCTACAGACAGAGGAGGGCACGGCAACAAGACCCAGAGCAACATCTACTGAGACTCCCGCGAATCAACCTGCAGACTTCGACCAGAGCATGATGGAGAAGTTTTTCTCCTTCATGTCCTTCTACGAGCAACACCAGCAATCGGCACCTGCGCAATCACACAGCAGCAACAACAACAGAGCAACACCCATGAGTCTCGACGGCTCATCATATGCACGAGGAAATCAGCAACAGCAGCCTACCTTTGCTCCGTACGAGCGCGAGTCCATCAGCTTTATGCCACACCCACAACCCTCACCTGGACAAGAAAAACCACTGGACGCATTACAAGTTCAGTCGCAGTTCGCACACGTTCTGAAGATGCAGACGTCAAGACCCTTTGATGGAAAGGACTTTCTTCACCTGGTCGTTCGAGTTTGAGCTGATGATGGAAGGCGCGCAGATACTCGGGTTCTTCCACGGGTCTCTGCCATATCCAACAAACGGCACACAGTACGAGAAGCAGCAGTACACCTATCAGTCAATGATGGCGTACACGATCCTACTGAGGAACATCACCCCGACTCAACAGCAGAACATAAGGACTTACCGAGGTTACGGCAACTCCGCGGAGCTCGCGTACAACCATCTGAAGAGCCTGTATCAAGCAACAGACAGCGTAAGTCAAAGTCGGTTAATGGCGCAACTGACAACGGTTGAAATGAAACCAGGGGAGAAAGGAATGGCGTATATCAGTCGATGTCGCGAGTTGCGCGACAAGCTTCTTCGATGCGGAGGGTCGATTTCTGAAGACGCCTTCGTGACAGTCATCATCGGCGGTCTCGGTCCTCAATGGCGCGCCACAAAGGCCATCCTCCGAGCTCACGGAAGAATCTCCGAAGCAGCGCTCTGCGCCGAAATCCACGCCGAGCAGCAAGACATGGACCTGCAAGAAGAACGACACAGAAAGAAGACATCAGCACCGGAATTCGCGTTCCACACTCAGCGACGCTACAACAACAACAACAACCGGCAGCAACAACCGAAGCCAATACCTCCGTTCTGCCACATCTGCAAAACTTCAGGACACCCGCGTACACACTGCCCGAATCGTCAACAGTCAACAACTCCACAGCGGCAACTTCGACCTTCAAGCAGCCAAATCGCCTCAACGCAAGCAAATCCCATGACTCAAATTCAAGCTTCAACGACCTCAACAAGACAACCTGCACAAGGAGCAAGAAAAATCGTCAGCTGCATGGCAAAGCTGAGTGACTCCTGCATCACCGAGTCACCACCACACTACTCGCAGGAAGACCAACTCGACGAAACCACACCCCGCCGCGAGTCACTTCAGCAGAACCCGACATACGCCGCCATCGCCCAAAGCGAGCCATCCGGAAGGGACACATGGTTCTTGGACAGTTGCTGCGGACAGCACATGTGCTCCTCGGGACGCTTCTTTCAACGAGAACAACAACTTCGACGCGAAGTTGTCATCACAGTCGCCAACAATCTGAACCTGCGAACACGACGACAAGGTGTAGTTCAACTTCAGTCAAGGGAAACAAACGTTATACTGCAGATGTCAAAAGTACTGATCGCGGAGGAACTCGGCTACAACTTACTAAGCGTCAGTCAGCTAATGGCGAAGGGGATTCACCTCGAAGCAGACAGCACCACCCAAGAATTCAAGCTGTATCACGGGAGAGGAGGTCTCTACATCGGCAAGGCGGTCCTCAAGAACAACGTCTTCGTTCTTGACTTCGTTCCTGACCTTGGCACCGCCGACATCGACGCCATCGTTAACTTCACCGACTGGACACACCCTCCAGACCTTGACCCAGACTTCAGTCCAGAAGGCTTCTGGTATTCACACACCATCCCTGAAGCAGAAAGGAAAAGGACATTAGCAACAATTCAGACAACATCGGCAGCAGTAGAGACAACATCGGCAGCAGCAGAGACAATATCGGCAGCAGCAGAAACAACATCGGCAGCAGCAGAGACAACATCGGCAGTAGCAGAACCATCAACGGCAGCAGCAAGAACGTCAACACCAATCGCTGGTCCTTCAACGACACCGCTCATCATCGACGACACACCACCAACACCAGCGCAACAACTCCACCCAACACCACGAGAAGTTCATCGCAACGCCAACTTCACCGCCAACTTCTACTCCAACTCCGATATGTACCGACGATCACCCGGACATCGCACCGACAAAAGCACCTGGCACGCAAGGATGGGACATCCAAGCAATACAGTATTAAACAATACGATAAGAGCAGGAGTACTCGACAAGGACTCACTTCTACTGACCGACGGACGAGATCTCGAACGAGTACGCGGAACGTGCTTCACCTGCCCCGAAGATGACTTACCACATAGACTGTTTACACCTCATCACAACCCGAGCGCACCCGCGTACGCACCACTCGAGAAGGTGTATAGCGACATCCTGCTCAATCGGGAACCAGGACAAGTAACATACAACTACACAATCACCTTCATCGACATCGCCACCCGTTACGTCTGGCACCTAAACCTCCCTAGCCGCGACATGGCATTCGCAGCCTTCGTTGCCTGGCTACCAGTAGCAGAGAGAGAATCGGGCGTACAAATGAAAAGCTTCCAGTCAGACGGAGGAGGAGAATACACCTCTCAGTGATTCAAGCAGTACCTGGCGGAAAGG